TGTGTTGATAAAAATGCACGGGCTGGTAGGCTTCATCGATAAAGTTCCTTAGTGTGACATTCGTGGCTGACGAAAAGCAAGATACCGTATAATCTTTTTAAATAGGCGCACTCTAATTAAGACGTCACGGGAGTGAAAGGTTTTACAATAGGCGTCATGAAATTTTGAAAAATTAGTCAATCAAAAAAACTTCACTTCATGATCATATCTTCAATTCTCTAATTTTGGTGAATATTTTTGTCATTGTTGGTAAAAAGTGATATTTTCGACTTCTTGTTAAAAAACGCAAGTCCAATTGCTTTGATATTACATATATAGGTACTACATGTGGACCTCTCTCAGATTTGTTCATTTTGTAATGATATCTTCTATTCTCTAATTAGGTGAATATTTTTGTCATTTTTGGTAAAAAGTGATATTTTCGACTTCTGTTAAAATTCGCAAGCTCGATTTCTTTGATATTACATATATAGGTACTACATGTGGACCTCTCTCAGATTTGTTCATTTCATGATGATACCTTCAATTCTCTAATTTTGGTGAATATTTTTGTCATTTTTTGTAAAAAGTGATATTTTCATCTTCTTGTTGAAAACAGCAAGTCTGATTGCTTTGATACTATACATATTGTTCATTTTCTAATGATACATGTATCTTCAATTGAAATGTGTATTGCTAACAGCAGAGCTATCTCAGCTGACAGGCCGCTTGTTTTAAAATGCTAATTCTGTGACTAATATGATGTCCCTCCCCTTTACCGCAGTTGGAGTTTGAACTTGGAAAATTGGCATCATATGACGAGAGTTATATTTGGAAATCCTGCTCTGAATGGTAGCACAAATGAGCTCATCAACACGATGAATCAGGACTAGTTTGGATTTCCATTATCAAATATAAAAGTTTGAACTTGGTAAATTAGCATATGATGAGAGTTATATTTGGAAATCCTACTACCATAAGTAGGAACTATAGTTTTGGATTTCCATTACTGTATGGTGAATGGTGATTTGGAAATACAACTTTATATGACTTATACACCCATGGAAATTATACCCTGTATGAACTAAACACACAAACTCATCAACAGGGGGGTGCAGATATAAACTGGAATGGCTCAACAAGTCAGGTAAAAACCTTGTAGATTAGCATCAACTGCATTGGGATCTCATTGACCTTTATACATACATTACAAGATCCTTTATTATGCATGAAATTGACATGTAAAAACAGAACTAACACAGAACATAGCATCATAGTGGCCGTAAAAAATTGTACGAGATTCAACAAACACGGACAAATTTTGTTGAGTATTTCCAAGCTTAATATTGATGGTCAAAGGTAAATTTTGATAAAGTCAGGATTTGGAATGTGTACCTTCATTAGTTTTGTTTTTCCAGGTTCAACACAGCAGACGACAGAAACACTGAAAATCCATGTCGATAAAATTCGTAAGTGTTGTTTAAAATAAAAACAAATTTCTGTTCATTTTGTTAGAAATAATTGTTCATCAGTCTGTAAATTTAAAGAGACGATACAATAGCTGTGAATTTAAATAGTTTTTTTGCTTGAAGATGATCAAAATTTGAAAAATTAGGTTTTAAATACTATTGCACATCACAAGGTTTCATTGACTAGATGGTACCCTCCAGAGACCTGGGCATAACTATGCAGCCATCTTTTTTACTGGCAAGTAATTTAATGTACAACTTTTGGAATGTTTTATTAAAAATAAAAATCTGAGAAAAAGGATCGCTATAGCTACATGTATATGCCACTTATGAATACAATTTGTGTTTATACATCTTGTTTATTCAGTTTTGATTAATGAATGGCATGAAAACTAGAGCAAACATGCATTTCACTTCATTGTTTTGCCACATCAATTGAGAAAAATAGAATCAATGTCCTCAAAACCATTTTTATTCTTCTTTGTAGGTGATGACAATACTGATGTACTGGTGTCTTCTGTACTCGCCATTCTGTTTGTGGCGGCTTTTATTATATTTGGTGCTATAGTAATCGTTAAATTCTTAGAAAAACAAAATGAGCTAGTTGATGCACAAAGATCTCACTATGTGCCTGTATCTGACCAATAAAACACAGTTTGTTGATTAGGGTTAGTTCTTTCCAGTCAATAAATTTACTGACACTGACATTTAATATCAATTTCCTGACATTGTATTGAATATCTGGTAAACTCTGTTGAAAATGTTTTTATTTTGTGGAAGAGACAATATCTTAATGTTATTTGTTCTTGTGTGATGTGCAAGCATATAGCTTACATAAAAATAAATAATGCAAAAGACAACTCTGATTTGTATCAATTTATTTTTCCCTAAAATCTTGAACTACAAAATAACTACTACTAAGTCTCAAGCTACGTCTACACTACTTCTCTTTTATTAAAGAAAAAAAAATAGAAAAAAAAATAATGAAAAAAAAATTGAAATAGATTCTTCCCCATTAATATACATGTCTTTTTTTAAAAAATAACTATGAACTTATGCATGATACCTCATATCGTGGTCAAATCTGTACATTGGTGAAAAAATAAATTACTCTCTGTTCAAAATACCATCTCTTCAATAAATTATAGAAAGCTTTCTTTTTTTTTTAACTTCACACACTCAGCACATACAATCATTTCTATCTATAATGGCTGCTCTGTGTCGCTTAGATTTGTAGTTGTCGCCTTTACTGCTGCTGGTTTAAAACACCCAATTTTCAGATATGCAAATCAAAGCAAACTAAAATTTATTACGTATCTGCTTTTAAATTAATTGTTATGAGCATTCAAATGCTCGGCTGTAAATACTCAAAATGGGCAAGGTAGTAATAAAATAGCAAACTTTAGATAAACAAATCAATCTTGTGGAAATAAACATTTAATAGATAAATATATTTCTGTAAAATAACAATAGTGCCAGATAGACAATATGAAATTTGCAGCAGCACAGAGCAGCCTATGTATTGATCTCTTTGCTCAGTTCAATTCATGTTGTACACAAATTTCCTGACACTGACAACTAACACACTATCACACCTCCAATTATCAATCAGAAAATCATTCCAAATGGCCAGCAGTTTCTTTTTAATTTATGTTAAACTGACTGGCAACTTAATTATTGAGTATATAGGTATGTACAGTAACCAACATCACAACACAAATCAAAAATATATAAATTGATTACAGTTTATCTTTGCCTTACACTTTTTATGAGATTCAAAATTTAAAACGAAAAAGGATTGTTAGCCATGCTTATGGCAATAATTTTTGAGACTTGGCAACTGTTATAACAACTCTAAAAGAACACACACTATTACCAATTGCAACCCGTGTCAGGTTTATCTGCAGAGACTGCACCCCCCCCCTTTTCCCCTCCCAAACAATCAAGGAAACTGTTTTTGCCGATTTCTGATATTAGTTTGTAAATGAACGGTCTATAATTGGTTGCTAGGCTATTTGTTTACTAAACAATAAATGTGATCACTCCCCATGAAACTAAGATGCAAGCCAGATTACACGGACATAGCTGAATACATTAAGGGGAAGTCACCAGTATAGACGGTATTATCAATAATACTTGGTCACCAGTATAGACGGTATTATCAATAATACTTGTCTTAATCAGAAAAAGTGAACAAGTGACACATCAACTGACTTTTTCATGCAGACAATAAAATTGGTCAGTCACATAATTTCCAATAGGAAGTGAATCACCTGATCAACTATCTTGTGTCATGTGACTGCATTATCAATTGGAAACCAACACCTGGCGATGATACATGGGTAGGGTTGTGGTGGGTTTAGACTTTCATATAAAATACAGCAATTGATAAAAGCTACAATGGATTGCAGCAAACACTGAGTGACTAACATCGTATTTACAGTTAACATATAAATATGTAATGTATGCAATATAATAAGCAGTGGGCTACAAACAAAACACATATATGAACTGATATATTTGTACAAAACACAAAATGTGGATTAACTTTGCTAAACAAAAACATGAAATATCGATGCACAAGTTCAAAAGACTTCTTCCTCTTATTTAAAAAAAAAACTTCTAAATCCAACATTTTGTCCTCATGGTTAAGTCTACACCAATGAAGAGACATTTGAAAAAAAAATTAAAAATAGCTACCGCTTCTTCCCATTAAAATGATAAAACTAATGTTTTACCCCACTAAAACTATTAAAAATTTCACATTCAACATACAACACAACTGTGCTTTTAAAAACTGAAAAATTTCATTTTCAAACAACAAATTTTCTCTGACAAAACAACAAAAATAAGAAACATTATTCACAATGAGATCAGATGCATTTCCACTTGCTCTAAGCCTAAAAAGATGCTAAAAAATTGCAAGCACTTGGAATACTGACTAACTGTAGTTCTACAGAAATTTGGAAGACATTAACGCTATGCTAATCTTTCACGACCAAGCTAAATTTCACCTGTTTTCCATACAAACAACAAACATTTCACAAGTCATTTTGGTCAATCCAGGCAAGTCTTGCAGTCAAATACAGTAACACAAAACACCATTACTACCATAATGATTCTAACCCCAGCACAAAAAAAATGATAAAAATCTTTACCCTAATTTCAATAAACAATAAAGTTCTTTTTTTCACAGAAAACGTCAAAAAACTATTTTTTTTTATAACTCATCATATGCACTTTCTTTACATTTTATAATTTTTTAATTCTCGTTGGATTACCTCAAAAATAGCTCTTTTCATATAAGAAAATATACTATGGTATTTTTCTCCTATCAATCTTTGTAAAATCGGTTTTTGAACAATTGAACATTTTTTGCAGCAAAAATAAAAGTACCATTTTTTTTTTACTAATGCTTATAAGGTTTTTTCCTGACTTCATAATTTCAGATGGATCCTCATCAGCCTCAGATATGTCTCCCGCATTTCATTTCCCCTACAAAAACAGAAAAAGTTTTAAATAACGTCAGTTGTATTTTCAGAAAACTACTGAAAATTTAACAATATTAGCACAAATATATTTTGTATGATGTGTTGATAGAAAAACAAGAACTGTGTGATATTTAAGAATTTCTGGAGAGAAGATATTGATTCCTGTCGAAAATGAGTTCAAAATCTTCATTACATGAATATTAAATGGCCGCCACTAAACGATGGCATTCACCCACCTTTATTTTGTTTGATGTGTTGTATAATATTGCTGTTGTGCTTGACTTTGTTGTTCATCGACTGAGGCTGTGCTTCCTGCTGTTGTGCTGCTTGCTGACGCTGCACCAGAAACATTCTGTTGTGCACTGTGGTCCTGTTGAATTAAAAGTTTTGAAATTATAGTTAATTATTGTTTGGGCATTTCAACTGAACCAGAGTCTAGAAATTCAGCACTAGTAGCATCATTTTTTGAAGATTTCAATTTCTACCTATTAAAGAATACATTATACCATTGACATCAATGTGTACTAACAAGAAATGTCAGAATTAGCAAAGGGCTACAAATAAAACACTGCAATTAAAAAGTAGTGCTTTGATGTGTAAGGAAATTACCCCTGATTAATGTGTCAAGTTTACCATGGCAACATAAACCCACCTCTAATGGAACCGTCTGTATAATATGTTGTTGATACTGAGGTGCCATTTGGTAATGGTTTGAAGGCTGCATTCCATAAACCGGGGATCCTCCAGATAGCTGTAACTGATTCATCTGATTGGTTAGCTGAGGCATCATGTTGGTATGCATTGTCATGCCTGGATCAACTTGTGATGTCATTATACTCTACAAGGAGAGAATTGGAAATTGTGTTAGCAGTGTGTATATACAGATGAGGAATTGAAACAAGCAACATCATAAATAAAATATCTATATTATACCTATATTAAATATCAGAGCTAGTTGAAATTATTTGTTATCTAAATATGAACAAATCTGAGATTTCATCTAAGGCACATGTATATCAAGTATCAATCTTAAATGTTGTGGTGAGCACTTTTATTTATTTATTTTTTGGGGCAGTTTTTCTTTGGCAGATACCACAAAAAAAAAGAGAAAACATTAGAACTGACATGCATGATGACCAGAAACCAAATTTGTTAGTCCCTGTTTGGACGAAGTCGGAAAACGGGGACTATTAATTTGGGTTCTTTCCGTCCGTCCAAACTCCGTCTGACAATACATAATGTCTTACATATGCGCGTCAAGTTACTTTATGGTCGGAGCAAAAATGGCAGACTAGCAGCCATTTTGGATGTAAAATTTGCTATTTCTGATACCTAAACGTGTCCGCAGCAGTTTCTCGAAGATGACTGGGTCGATTTGGATCAAAGTTGGTATGATGATCACACACATTTTTTTCCGTGATTCGAACAAATATGACCGACTGGCGGCCATCTTGTTTTTCATGGTACCCATGCCTACTTTCCTATTAATGCAATGAACATTTCTGTTTAAATTTTGTACAAAGACAGTTTACCAATAGATACATCAACATGAACATTATTTTTGTAATTTGATTCAATATGACTGCCCAATGTCCAATTCTCGTGTAAAAGCACTAAATCATATTTTTTTACAAATCCATCTCCTATTAATGGTTTCAATCTAATCTCAATGACTTCATCAGCATCAAATTGATATGTCAGATCACAAAATTTTGAACCTATACCCCAATTTTACACTACCAAAACTGCCACCTTGAAAATCTTTTGTATTTTTGAGGCTGTCCAAGCATTTGACATACAAACATTCTTCTCTCTACATCACTGAGTTTATCATTATATTTGATAGCTACTTACAGGAGACATGACACCATGTGACTGCATAACATACTGGGCGTGTAACGGCCAACCACCACCACTATTACTATGGACAGGATAACTATTGACTGGTGATGTTGGCATTGCATATGAAGTTGCCGGCATTATTTGACTAGGATGTACTACTCTGTTAGACTGTATGCTAGAATGAAATTGATACCTGAAATAAACAAGGCAATAGAGTCAAAGTGCATGATATGTATGGTAACTAAATTAGATCAGTTAATACAGTGGCAAACACAAACCTGTGTACATTTCAAATTATTTATAAATTCCAAACATGAAGTTGCATGTAGTGTATTTTTAATGAAAAATTAAAATAAGTCATTCAGCATGAGTGAAGTCCAACACGCATGCACATTTGCACTTTGTAAATAAACTTAATACATACCCATTTTGGGGCAGGGGACTTTGGTCATATAAGGCAACAGCAGTCTCCCCATCTCTCTGCCACTGTCGCATTTCTTGTTGCTGTTTATTATATTGGTTCCTCTTTTTAACTCCTCCATCAGCAAATTTACATAGCAATGGTTCTAATTGCCCTATAAACAACACAGAGTAAACAATTGTATTTCAGCAGCATTTCTATTATACTTAGGTGCATACATTATAATATAAGCAAATAACAAGATTTGATTGGCTATTTTAGGAAACCTTGATTTTGATCTTGCTGCACTGTCATCAAATCTTCTGGTACAATCACATTAGACTGTCCGTAGACCTAAGTATGAAGCTCCCTGATTGGCTGGACATACTTTGAAGAGGAAGTACCTTAAGTAATAATAATAATAAAGTTCTGCTTTCAATATTATCACATTTGACCTACCTGGTAAATAATTTCCATTAAACTTCGTTATAATATGTTCACATTTTTCTTTGGATTCCATTCTGAAAAACAGAAGTGAAACCATTAATTGGTGATATTTGTAATTGCTAAGTTTAATATTGTTAGATGAGATGGGACAAAGTACAGATGATGTCATGGAAAGGGTTAAAATACTCATCAAATTCAGTATTATCTTTCACATTGTAGTGACAAACCATTTCTGTGACACCAAAATGAGGTGGATGTAGACAACCATCTTAGAATAATCACAGATTAAAGAAATATGGCCAATGTAAATGGTGTCCTTTTTACGGAACATGACATCATAGAAAGTGTGAAAGGTATTTTAATAGAGTATGTGGGACACCACAGCTATTACTAACAGTCAATCAACAATTATTTCTACTTCTGTTTATTCTATTAAAAACTATTCCACACATTTAGCAAAATCAATTTGCAAACCCTACCCACTATTTGTCATGTACTCACCTTGCAAACCCTACCCACTATTTGTCATGTACTCACCTTGCAAACCCTACCCCCCTACTCATATTTGTTTGACAATCTCGTAATATTCGGGTACTTATAACTTGACCATATGGTGACAGTAAACTTTCTAAATCTTTCTCATCCATGTGTATGGGCAGATTAGATAAGTACAAATTGGTTGGATCTTGCTCTTGTTGCTGTAGGTAATAAACAAATAGAATTGATTATTATATATCACCAGTGACCTGTACATGCAGGTCTAAAATACCTGATACACACAGTTTTCTGTGGTTAGTAGTAGACCCAAACATGAATAACACACAGCATGGAAGGTACTAACCTTCCATGCACACAGTAAGCTTAAATCCTTGTGTCAACTGAAATCGGCAAAAATATTATTCTGTGCTACGGACATAGCACGTAATGAAGAACAATGTGATCTTCAGATACCTTGGGTTCAAAAAAGAAGTATGGGAAAACTTATTTTTCAGAATTACTCGAACAGCGCCAAAAAAACAGATGGCTATCTGAAGTGTATTTGCTTGAGAACCCACCAGCTTTGTCAATCCTCAAAACCCAATCGGGCACAATTTACATATATCAATGTTGGTGCTAACAAATAAACCTTGCAATGCTGAAATATGAATGTCAATTTGCGTCATATCTTAACATGAGCAGCAGTACACTTGAGAAGTATACCGTGTCATTAGCATATGGAAAGTCAACAATGCTCACAAGCAAAATGTACCCCTGTAAAACAGTTATTGATAATGGCTTTGTTGTGTAAACATAATATTACATAACTTACACATACCTTTGCCATTTGGGCTTCAATGCCTTGTTGTTGCAATGCTTGCACTGCTTTTTGAGCCGCTCCATGAGAATCAAAATCAACAAACCCATATCCTTGAAAAAATGAAAGAAACTCATCTGAAACAATAGACATGTTAGAGCCTACAAGAATCAACAACAAATTTACTACCATTGTGGAGACTAGATTTGGATAAAGGGTGAAGAAACGTACACATTTTCAGTTCATGAAAAAACTCTTTTTTTTAAAGATATAAATATCGCCCTCACAGTCAAAATTGAGATTCCTTCTGTTTTTCTACCACAATCAATGTTTGATCCACATACCTTTGCATTTATTGGTGCTTTTATCCAATATTGCTTTCACTGATACTATCTTTCCATACCTAAGATAAAATACATAGAATTGTAATGAAGACAATATTTTAATAGCCAATCAAAATAGCTGACACATGATATATAAGAGATCATGTGATTGGCTGGCATATAACAACATTGCTAAGATCCTGAATGCACAATATACTTCCCAATCATAAAATGAACATGGCAATAAATTTACCATACATTAGGTCATTAATTATACAGTGAGATTCAATAAAAATTTAACTCTGTTATGATTCGTTAATACAGTCAAACCTGTGTTAACGACCACCTGTGCAGAGCGGCCACCTGCTCATAGCGACCACCTTAGTACAGTCCCTTTGCAATTTACATGTTAAAGACACTGGATATAGTGACCACCTGTCCAACGTGACCAGCGACCACCCTATTGTAGACCTATTCACACTTTAACCTTTGTGTAACGACCACCAACATTTCCATCAGACGATCTCAGCAATAAGACATTAGCTACTTGCGAATCACTAACAGGAAAGTGACCATATGTTACGTTCAGATTACCGAGTATGCAATCTTTAAGGCTAATAGCCAGGGGTAACCATCACAACTTGGTTTGTGAAGTTGCGAAAAAGTAAAAAAAAAAAAGTTGAATATCATCTGAATGTGGAAAGATTTTAACAACAAATTAAATCAGTTTCATTCAAAGTTTGAAATGAAAAACTAGCTCGTTTCCGATCTGTACTATACTATCGATCCCCAGCCGGCCAGCACATGAAGAGCAAATTCCTCCCGTCTCGAAAACAAGAAAAATGAACCAGTTTTATTAAATGAGAGACGTTTTAATTACCTTGTCGACATGAAATATCCAAACAAAATAATAAAACATTCGTTTATTTCGTTTTCATCGCGGGATTGCAAAATCCGACCTATTTTGGCCGCCATGTTGTTTGTTGTTGATCATTATAAATTATGCTAATGAAGCTAGCGCATGGGCAAAATGTATTGTTACTGAGGGGTCATCTCAGGGTTATTCTCAACGAAAGATGTTTTCTATTTTGATTCTCTTTTTTATAAATGGTAATATCAATAATTCACAATAGAGAAAATTGTTTTGTTTTGGCAGTTTTGACACGTTGATGCTTGCAACAAATAACTGTAAAATTGCGTGTACGATCATCGTGTTTCATTTCCGGTTCGTTCGACTTTCTGATTCACACTGAAGTTGGAGCAATCATTAATAGTTTGGTAAATTTTGTTTATTACCAATGCTTCTTCATTTTTAATGCTTTTTGTTTGTTTGTTTTTTCAAACATGGCAACTTTTCCTGTGCATTTTGTCACAGTGTACAATCGACAATACTAACGATGGGACTGATACTGCCTGTGATGGGATATGTGTAAGAGACTGGGGAATAAGACTGCATGGCCAGAGTGTGACAATGCGGCCGATCGTTGACAATCGTTCTTATGCATTAAATACACCAATAAATCCATGGGTAGAATCACTTGGTTTTAGTGAATTTACATGATATAATTTGTAGTAAAAAAGTAAAGCTGCAATTATGCAGATGAAAATGAGTGACTTTTACTAAAAAAGACCTATTCATTGTACAATTTAATGTTTTGCTTATGATCTCCCTTAAAATTCCCGCCCTAATTAATATTCATGATTGAACGAATAAATTAGGCCACCTCCATATAAAGACCACCTGTCTATAAAGGAAAGTTTGGCTCAGTCCACTGACTGTCCATTATAGACAGGTTTAACTGTAACTCGATACAATCTCTTGCTCCTACATATAACTAATAATGAATGTTAAATTCAATAACTTACGGTAAACACATATTCTGTAAGTCCTGATCTGTTGTGTTTGGAGGAAGTCGTCTAATATAAAGATTTGTTTTACTAAGTTGTTCTCCGATGGACTGCTGAGACCCTGATCCACTGCTGCCAGCGCTTGGACTTGGAGGCGGCATATTGCGGGCTGGATTATATGTCTGTATACAAATAAGAGGAAGAAAATAAGTAAATATCTCATGAAGCTAAATTTCAAGTAAAGAACTTATATCCCCCACATTGGTATTAGCAATTCAATATCAAAACTGTTTCTGCATTTACACTATTACCTTGTAAAGTCAGTGTAAAAGTACATAATGGCTGGCAGCATAAAGGTTACTGATTAGAACGTGACAGCACTATGAAACATTTTTAGAAGACACTGTTTAAGCTCACTGTCATAATAAGTTGGATTTTAATATCAAGCAAAAACTCTGGTTTATGTTTGTTTAAAGTGGATTGCAAAATTATGGTGAAACATTTTGGTATTGATTTTTCTGTAGTTTCTTTTTCATTTTGGCCCAAATGGACAAAAGTATACAGAATGAAATACTGTTAACCGATATAATCTTCTAAGAGAGTCAGTGAAATTTTATAACACAAGTTTCTGAGATTATTGTAAAATCACGGCAAATTATAGTACTGTGAAATATTTTACTTTAGCTGGAATTAATTTTCGCTGAAAACACTTTTTGGGTGTTTTGTATGGAATTTATTTTCACTAATTTTTGATGAATTGAATGTAAAATATAGTAAAAAAGGTATATTATTTTCACTGAATCATTTCTTCAGCGAAAATTAATTCCAAGCGAAAAGTAAGTGACAAAGGAATTGTAAATACAACAGAAAGTATTGCAAATAGCAATCACAAGGAATGCAGTTACAATGTAAGTAGTGCTTTGAAGTGCCACCCACAAAGCAACGTAGGTGTGGTCATGGTGTCCAATGACAGGAGGAAAGCACAGAGTGGTCCAGAAAATATGCCAGGGCATTGACCTTATTATTTCTCAAGGTCAGTAGTATATGATCCAATTATTAGATGGTGATACAGATAAGAACTGGTTCAATTAGTTAATTTAACTTCTTAATTTGCAGTAGTATTCATTTCAAGAGAATTACAAGCATGTGGGAATGATGTCACAGACAATGAGTTCATCTATTTATTACTAAACACTTTTACAGTCAATATAAATTTCACTTCTGTTGGATTCCTGCATAAAGTTAATGTAGAGAGGGTAAATTGTGGGTTTATGTATAGGGCGTGTCAATATCTGGTTTATGTATAGGGCGGGTCAATATCTTGTTTATGCATAGGGCGTGGGTCAATATCTTGTTTATGTATAGGGCAGGTCAATATCTGGTTTATGTATAGGGCAGGTGAATATCTGTTTTATGTCTAGGGCAGGTGAATATCTGTTTTATGTCTAGGGCAGATCAATACCTGGTTTATGTATAGGCGCGGGTCAATATCTGGTTTATGTATAGGGCGCGGGTCAATATCTGGTTTATGTATAGGGCGCGGGTCAATATCTGGTTTATGTTTAGAGCGCAGGTCAATATCTGGTTTATGTATAGGGCAGGTCAATATCTGGTTTATGTATAGGGCAGGTCAATATCTTGTTTATGCATAGGGCAGGTCAATATCTTGTTTATGCATAGGGCGTGGGTCAATATCTTGTTTATGTATAGGGCAGGTCAATATCTGGTTTATGTATAGGGCAGGTGAATATCTGTTTTATGTCTAGGGCAGGTGAATATCTGTTTTATGTCTAGGGCAGGTCAACACCTGGTTTATGTATAGGCGCGGGTCAATATCTGGTTTATGTATAGGGTGCGGGTCAATATCTGGTTTATGTATAGGGCAGGTCAATATCTGGTTTATGTATAGGGCGCATGTTAATATCTGGTTTATGTATAGGGTAGGTCAATATCTGGTTTATGTATAGGGCGCGGGTCAATATCTGGTTATGTTTAGGGCGCAGGTCAATATCTGGTTTATGTATAGGCGCGGGTCAATATCTGGTTTATGTATAGGACGCGGGTCAATATCTGGTTTATGTTTAGGGCAGGTCAATATCTGGTTTATGTATAGAGTGCGGGTCAATATCTGGTTTATGTATAGGGCGCGGGTCAATATCTGGTTTATGTATAGGGCAGGTGAATATCTGTTTTATGTCTAGA